AAAGCCGCCCTCCCCAAAAAGTGTACTTAAGCTCTGCTTGACCTCTGCTCTGGGCTCTGGCTGCTCTCCCTTCTTGAGTGAGCACGGAGCCCCAGCGCACGCTGGTTCAATAAAACTCCCTCCTGCTTATTGCATGAAGCCATTCTCTTGTGTGGTCTCTTTCTCCGACGCTTCGCCGGACCCTTACAGCTTTACCTCTCGCAACCTCTGTTTCCTCATCTGTGAATTGGGAACCTGCTCATATCTGAGCTGGTCGGGAAGATGCAAACCTGATGTGACAGGGTGTGTTGGAGGCAGGTGGAGACCGAGGTCCCTTGCTCGGTGTAGCTCAGGCGTCTGGTTCCATCATGATGCTAAGAGACAGGCACAGGGCCAGGATCCAGCTCCGTGGGACTGGGCACTTCCCACATGCTAAGCGCTGGATGTGGTGACCTCCACAATGGACCTCAACAGCTCAAGGGATCCTTCCCATTGCCCAAGAAAACAAAGGCTATAGGTGTAGAGTGGCCAGCTGGAACCTAAGCATGGACAATCCCAGCCCAGATGCCGGGGTTAGGAATTTGGCTCCATCCCTGTCATCCCAGCAGCTTGGGAGGCTGAGGCAGGAGGATCGAAAGTTTGGGGCCAGCCTCAGCGAATAGGCAAGGCCCTGTGCAATTTAGTGAGATCCTGCCTTGAAATGAAAAAATTAAAAGGGCCAGGGCCAGGGCCGGGGCTGGGGCTCAGCGGTAGAGGCTCGCCCAGCACATGGGAGGCCCTGGGTTCCAGGCTCAGCACCACATAAAATAAATAAAATAAAGCCAACTAAAAAAATTAATATTTTTTTTAAAAAGGGCTGGGGCTGGGGCTCAGTGGTTAAGCATTCCTAGGTTCAATCACCAGTACAGGGGAAAAAAGAAGAAAGAGAAGGAGGAGGAGAAGGAAGAAGAAATCTGGTGCTCAGACAAAGTCAACAAGAGCCTGGGCCTGGGGGTCTCCCACCACATCTGGTCCAGGAGAACACGCGCAAGGAGATTGGCCACAACAGGGGACCTGGTCAGAGGGCAGAGGCCAGGGATCCCTGCACAACCATTTGAGGTCACCAACCAGGGGCTCCAAGCCACACAACATGGTGAGTGAGAAAAGAAATGGAAGGCAGTGGCCCAGAGCCGGCTGTGTGCATACTTTAAATCAAAGGCAAGCACACCTGCCATCCCAGCAACTGAGAGGCTGAGGCAGGAGGATCACAAGTTCGAGGCCAGCCTCTTCAACTTTGTGGGTCCAACGCCACTTAATGAGACCCTGTCTCAGAATAAAAGATAAAATAAAAAGGGCTGGGAATGTGGCTCAGTGGTTAAGTGAACTTGGCTTCAATCCCTGATACCAAAATCAAAACAAAACAACCCCTACGTGTGACTGAGCAGCCTGCAGGCACCCACCCTCTTTGGACCAAGGGAAAACAACATTATGAGCAGCTGGAGCAGGCAGGGGATATTAAGGAAGAACCTTCCCTTTTAGGTGTGACGGTGGCATTGTGTCTATGCTCTTACACATGGAGACATTTATGAATGAAATGACATAATGTCTGGGATCTGCTTTTAAATAACAGGGAGGCGGAGCTGGTGGAAGAGGAGACACACCACGCGCTCTCTGTGCCTGGGGCTTCCTTTCGTGTGTGTCCAGAGCGCGGAGCAGACAGAGCAAAAGTCTGCATCTGCAAGCACTCGGAGCCCCAGGTGAGGAAGGCCGTCAGCAGCCCAGGGAAGAGAAGGAGGGAAGCAGCAAGAAGAGGTGGAAGAGGCAGGAAGAGAAGGAAAGGAGAGGGAAAGTGAGGCAGGAAGGGGAAGGAAGAGAGGGGAAGAAAAGATAGAAGGGAGAAAGGAAGCCGGGGGCGGTGGTACACGCCTGCAATCCCAGCACCTGGGGAGGCCGAGGCAGGAGGATGGGGATTCAAAGCCAGCCTCAGCCACACAGTGAGGCCCTAAGCAACTTAGGAAGAACCTGTGTCTAAATTAAACATGAAAAAGGGGCTGGGGATGCGGGTTCAATTCTGATACCAAATACAGAAAGAAAGAAAGGGAAGAAGAAGGAGGCAGGGGGCAGGGAGGAGGCTGGGGGGGGGGAGGCCGCGGGAGGCGCCCAGCCAGACCTTGTAGTGTTCCGCCAGGATCATGAACACCAGCTCAAAGGGGGCCCCCTTGCTGAAGGGCATGCTCCTCTTCCTCTCCTCGTTGCCCCAGCGGCCACCCTGCTGTGAGTTGAAGACCACCTTGTCCCAGCCATCGAAGCGGGGATTGAAGTGGAAGGCGATGTCCGCCCCTGGGTCCTGCCCCACAGCGAAGTTCACCTGGAACCTGGTGAGACACCCAGGGCTGACTCCCCAGAGGACACCTGCCGCCCAAGGGACCCCTCCAGGGAGCTCTGTCCCCACATTCTCTGCCCCGGGCACTACTGACCAAGCCAGGAGAGGAGGTGGTGACCTGGAGTTCCAGAGATCCACTCCCACGGCAGGCCCTTGGCTCGCTGCTCCTTGGAGGCCACCTTCCCACCCCTCCCAGCTTCAACTATTTGCTCTGGGGACTCCTGTGGTCACAGTTGACATCCATTGGTTGACATCCATTGGAGTTTCTCTGCTCCTTCCTGGACCCCGACAGTCCTTCCCCACCCACAGCCAGAGAAGCTGGGAACGCCCAGGTCAGAGCACACTGCCCATCACACCAGAAGTTATTCCAACAGGGCAGGACCCAGCTGCCACAGGGCCTTTGCACTGGCAGTTCCCTCTCCTCTCTTCCTCCATTCCTCCCTCTCTCTCATCTTGGAGGTGGCAAAAAGCTCCTACAGGTGGGCCGCAGCACCAGCTCCCTTGCAGCCGAGCCTGGTGGGACGAGGTGGGGGTCCACTTACCGCTTCATCTTCTCGTCGGCCACTCCTTGGATGTAGATGGACATTCCGATGCTGAGGCCGCCGGGGATGGGCTGGTTGTAGGGCAGGGTCTGAAGAATGGGCCGGTGAGGGGCGTCAGAGGCCATGGGACAGTCGCAGCCCTTCCCCCTCACCGAAACCCCTTCTGGTCCCACAAGCAGGGGACATGAAACTGGAGTGAGGAAACTGGGGGAAGAAGCCTGAGCATCATGATGGGGGGCCTGATGGTTGGGGGTCCCTCACGGGTTGGAGTGTGGCTCGGAGAGCAGCTAAGCCAAGGCCTGGGGTGGGGCTGGCTGGCATCTCACCGGGTTGTAGGTGGGCTGGTAGCCCGGCGCAGGGACAAAGGCCATCTTCAGAGGCTGCGCTGTGGCTTGTGCTAGAGATGAGCTAGAGGAGAGAGAAAGTGGCAGGTGGCAGGCAGTGGGTGGCCCTTATAGCAGAGGCAAAGGGAGTGGCAGGCAGGGAGGGCCGCGAGGTCCTTCTCCCAGGGATCCCTGCGCACACACTGGCTTTCCTGGACACCCGTCCCCACCTGCCCGGGCACAAAGAGGAAGTGCTCGCAGACTTCGGCCTCACCGGGGCCTTATCGGAGCCCATAAAACCCTGCCCAGACTCTGTTGGCAGAGGGAGGGTGGGACCAGGCGGCAGGGCCAGGGCAGGGCCGCAGGAGTGGCCTGGACAGCTGGGCGGTGGGAGCAGCCGGAGCTCCCGACTCTGTGGAAGGGTGGTGGCCCGAGCCCTGGCGCCCGGCAGGTCCCCACAGTATGAGGCGTCCTCGGGACAGTGCGTGACAGCCCACTCAGAGCCAGGGGTTCGGCGCCCGGTCCTGCCTCCACAACTTGTCGGCTCTGCCGTCCCGGGTCCTTACCCCGGATTCGCCCCTTTTCCTGGGGCTAAAACAGAAGTGACAGTAGCAACTCCATAGATCCTTAAAAGGAATCGCTAAACTAATAAATGCCCAGAGCAGGCTTGGCATGCAGAGGGCGCACAATTAATGTTTGGTCTTGTCACTCATTCCAGACATAAACCAGGGAGGCTGGGATTATATTCCATAAGAAAACCCAGTGGGTTTTTCCGCGGTGGAGCGCCCGCCCAGCATGTGGGGGCCCTGGGCTCCATCCCCCTGTCGCCAAAGGTTGCCAGATTCCAGCAGGGGGTCCCCTCCACTGGGGAGTAAAAGGCACAGACAGTGGGCACAGCTCCCAGCAGCAGGGAGGAGACCAGGGGTGGGTTCTTGGGGGCTTTCAGGCCCAGGGAACCCCACAACCTCGGCTCCCTCCTCCCGGGACGTCCTGTTGACCCTGGCCACCGGCAGCTGCAGGTCACCGTTCCCGCGGGCCATATCCCTAAACCACCTTCACCACCGCCCTCCCTGGAGCCCAGGAGCATCTTAGCCCTGCCACCTGTCCTCTCCCAGTAAAGACACAGGTTCTTTATAATGTTTTATTGTCCAAAGAGCGAAGAGAAGGCCCTGGGCTTGAAATCGGTGTCGCAGGCAATACACTGAGGGACACTCGGATACCGTCTCCCATCCGCTCTGTAGAGAGAAGCCGGACCCCAGGCGCCGCAGGCTGGGGACCCGAGGGCTCTCAGAGTTTGGAGAAGGTGACACTTTTCGCATCCTTCTTCTCCATCATGGCCTGCACCGACTTGACGATGTCCTGGGTTTGTAGCATGCTCATGTTCCAGGTCGCCTGCAGAGAGGGCCACCAATCAGAGGACAGGCGAGGCTCGCGCGCACCAATCAGAGGACAGGCACCCACAGCCCGCGCCCCACCTGCTGCCCGGGCATTACCATGTAGTTGAGGCCCTCGGCCACCGGGTGGTCGCGGGAGTAGAGCAGGTTGATCTTGGTGCTCTGCACGGCCACCGGGCTCTTGCTGGCAATCTCGGCCGCCAGGGCCAAGGCCGAGTCCAGCATGAGCTCCTTGTCCGGGAACATGCGGCTGCGACGAAGGGACAAGAGGGGTCGGGACAGGCAACTGGGGAAGGGCGGATGGGGTGTGGCCACTCACAGAGGACCCCAGTAAAAGGGCCCGAGGACAGGAGGGTGCTGGCCCCCAAAGGAAACAATCCTGCTGAGGACACACGGGCCCCAGCCTGGCGCTCTGGCACCCACCTGACCAGCCCACTGCTCAGGGCCTCGTCGGCCATCATCTTGCGGCAGGTGAAGGCCAGTTCGTTGACCAGGCTGCAAAAGGGAAGCGTGGGTCAGAGACGGCTGTCATCTGGGAGATGCCCTGTGGTCCCCTCCCGGGGTCCCCTCACCGCACCCACCTCTGGTTCCCGATGATCTTGGGCAGTCGCTGTAGTGTCCCCACATCGGCAGCCAAGCCCACGTCCACTTCCTGGGGGGCACAGAGGTGTCAGGGTTATTCTGCCAGGGGTGCCCCCCAGGACACCGCCATCAGGGGCTCCCCCCCCACACGCACACTCAGGCAGGTGCCCTGATCCCCGCCCTCCAGGTCTTCCCTTCGTCACATCTTTCTCCAGAGCCACGCCCTTCCTGACCCCTTTACCACATCAAGGGTCTCCATCCTGCCCCCACCCTCTCCTGCAGGCCCTCAGCAGTGACCCCAGCCTCCGGCCAGGGTCACCTCGTCCCCACACCCCACCTCCCTGGCTCCTGACCTCACGGGGACGGCCTGCCCCTGGCTTCCTCATGGCCCAGCCTCCCTTCGGAAGGTTCAGTTCCGACCCTCTTCCCGGAGGCTCGAGGGCAGGCTCCCTGGCCCACCCTGGCCCTGCTCTGCTCCGGCTCACTGCCCAGTGGTGTGCAGGACCCCGGAGGCAGGAGCTTAGGGGTAACTCACCTTCACCTGGAATACAGCGTCCTGGGTACAGTAGCGGATGTCACAGGCGGTGATGAGGTCCACACCTGGGGAGGGGCAGGGAAGCTGAACATCACCCTGCAGGACCTGGGGTGGCATCTGGGGGCCAAGTCTAAGGGTACTGGTTGTGTCTGGGGGCCACTGGCCCAGGTGGAAGGGCACGAGCCAGCCAGTGTGGGCACCTTGGCACGGGTGGCGGCAGGAGGCCCAGGCTCACCTGCTCCGATACAGTTCCCGTGGATGGCAGCGATCACGGGCTTGGGGCACTGGAAGGGAATGGGAGGGTCAGGGTCAGGGTGGGCCACAGAGAGAGGCCACAGAGGATGCCCTCCAGCCCCCAGAGTCACCTTCTCAATGACACTGAAGGTTTCTTGGTATCTGCTGATGAGGTCACGCAGGTACCAGCTGATGCGGGCCACATCGTCCCCTTCGGGCTGCAGGAGGTCTGAAGCCATGTCCATGAGGTCGATACCTGAAGAGGAGGCAGGCGGAGGCTCACCCACCTCCTGGCCGGGGCCAGAGCCCAGACACCATGGAACCCCCACATCAGCACAGTACAGAGGCAAGTCCCACGGACTCCCAGGGGATGACCTTGAACGTGAGCTGAACAAAGACTGCCACCAAGGCACTGCTGAGTCTGTTCAGCCACCCAGTGAGGTGGGCCCTGGGACGCACCCAGTTTGCTAGTGGGTAAACTGAGGCACAGAGAGGCAGCACACTCACCTAAAGTCCCACCAGCTTGTGAGCAGAACTGAGGATCTGGTTGTGTGCAGTGGCACACGCCTGTAATCCCAGTGACTCAGGAGGCTGAGGCAGGAGGATCACCAAGTTCACGGCCAGCCTCAGCAACCAAATGAGGCCCAAGCAACTCAGTGAGACCCTGTCTCAAAATTTTTAAAAGGGGAAGGCTGGGACGTGGTTCAGTGGTTAAGCATGCCTGAGTTCAACCCCTGGGACCACACAGCTGGCTCCAGAAGACTCATTTCCCTCTTATCCCAGGTGGGCACGGACTCAAGGTTTATGGCAAAATTGAGTCAATGGTGGTGATCTTGCCTCAGAAGGCAAGACCCAGATGGAGCAGATATTATGGCTCCCATTCAAGACAATCCTGAGTTTGACTTCTGTCCCCCCAGCCATCCTCTCTCACTCTACTCCTGGTCCCCCGTTCCCTCCTGTCCTAAGCTAGTCCCCACACTCAGCCTGTGAAGCCTGGAGTCAGGTTAGAACCCCCTCTTCTTCCCTTCCATCCCACTTTCTTAGAATAAAACACCAAGTCCTCACCGGGGGCACAGCTAAGTAGTACAGCACCTGACCTGCATGCTCTAGGCTACGGGTTTCACCCCCAGGACTGAGACAGGAGAACTGCAAGTTCAAGGCCAGCCTCAGCAACTTAGTGAGACCCTACCTCAAAATAAAAAGTAAAAAGGACTGGAGATGGGGTTCAGTGGCCAAGCACCCTGCATCCAAAATAACAACAATAAAGCCTCCTGAAGGCAGATGGGGCTGCAAGGTTGTGGAGATGGAGTGACAGAGGCCCGAGCAGAAGCTGGACGCAGCGACGTCAGTCACCACTGCTGTGTGCTCCGTTTCAGCAGAGGTCACAGCATCTGACCAGCCTGCTGGCGACTAGGGGCTCCCACACTACATCTGAGGAGCCCGAATGACTCATCAAGAGCTAGGACAAGCCCAGTATGACGGCCTCTTGCGACACCACCTTCCACTGTGTGTGTGTGCGCGCGCGCGCGCGTGCGTGCGTGCGTGCGTGCGTGTGTGTGTGTGACTAGGGACTTTACACAGGGCAATCTTCTACGGAGTGACAACTCCAACCCTCATTTTTATTTTGAGGCATGGTCCTGCTAAGTGGCCAAGGCTGGCCTCAAATGCGCCATCCTCCTGCCTCAGTCTCCCAAGTAGCAATTGTGCCCCGCTTCTCCCCAGTTCTTCTGGTTTAACTGCCCTGGACCTGCCGAGGCTGACGACTGCCACTGCTTGAAATAAAGGGCCCAGGTGTTGGGACCAAGTGTCCCCCTCCAAAGCAAGAACACTGCAGGTTAGTCGCTGGGAACTTCTAAACATCCTTCATAACCCTGCTGCCGCTCACCCCCGTCAAGCCACAGCAGCAAACAAGTTGCAATGTTAACGCTGGGCACATAGGAATGTCCTGCAGCTTCTTTCATTTAATCTTCATGAACCCAGTGAGATGGGTCTGGTGGGATATCCATATTCTTCAGATGAGAAGCCAGCAGCAGAGAAGTGAGGGGACAATGACAAATGGTAGAAGTGGGGCTGCCTAATGCCAGAGCCCTTTCTTTTTTCTTCTGATTTTAGGGATGGAACCCAGGGCCTAATCTGTGCTAACAACATACTCTCCCTCTGTCACACCCGCTCCCCTGAGCCCTTGCTTTTAACCAGCAACACAGTCACCTGGGTCACAGTTGCAGTGGTTAAGATCAAGGATTCTGCTGGGTGTGGTGCCGCCTGCCTGTGATCCCAGGGACTCAGGAGGCTGAGGCAGGAGGATTGCAAGTTTGAGGTCAGCCTCAGCAACTCAGTGAGACCCTGTCTCTAAATAAAATATAAAATAGGGCTGGGGAGATGGCTTAGGGGTTGAGTGTCCCTGAGTTCAATCCCCAGTACCACCACCACCAACAACAACAACAACAAATCAAAAGGACTGGGGATGTAGCTCAGGGTAGAGCATTCTTGAGTTCAATCCCAGGGGAGGCGGGGGCGGAGAATAGGACCTTGGATCACAAGGTCCACTCTATCATTGGATCACTGTGACCCTGAATTTCTTCTTCTGACCTTCAAGGGCTTGCTGTTAAACACAGGTCAAGAGATAGCCACAATCAGCCAGGAGCTGAAAGATGAGAGCCAGAATGAAACCTCATCTTTTTTTTTTTTTTGGCACAAGGTGACTGGCCATTTTTTTTGTTTTTGTTTTTTGTTTTTAGTACCAGGGATTGAACTCAGGGGTACTCAACCACTGAGCCAGATCCCCAGCCCTTTTAAAAAATACTTTATTTAGAGATTGGGTCCATTAGGTTGCTTAGGGTCTCAATAAATTGCTGAGGCTAGCCTTGAACTTGTAATCCTCCTGCCTCAGCCTCCCAAGTCAGTGAGATTACAGGTGTGCACCACAATACCTGGTTTTCCCCCCTGCCCTACAATACCAGGGATTGTATCCAGGGGCATTCTACCACTAAGCAACATCCCCAGCCTTTTCTTTTTTCAAAGACAGGGTCTTATTAAGTTGTCAAGGTGTTGGGGCTGACCTCAAGCTGGTAATCCTCCTGCCTCAGCCTCCTGAGTTGTTAGAACTACAGATGTCCACTATCATGCCCAACACATATTCTTATGATAACACACTTGGTTAACACAGCAATAGATTCAGAGTGGTTAAGTGCCTTGTTCAAGATCACAGATCCATGACAGAAACCCAAACTTCAGGGCCTAGGACTCTGTAATGTCCTGTTGGACTCATCTATATAACATTTTTTTTTTTTTAGTAGAGGTGCTGGAGAAGGAACACAAGGTCTCATGCATGGCAGGCAACCACTCCATTGCTGAGCCACAACCCAGCCCTCTATATTTGAGTGTTTTAAATTAGGCCTTTAAAAAAATTTGATGAAAATTTAAGTTAGAGTCTGCTTAAAACCCTAATGAAGAAGCACTCCTTCTGCTCTGTCAGCAGCAGGGTGCTGGGAGCACAGTACCTGAAGAGAACATCTTTCCTGCACCTGAGATCACTACAGCCCGGCAG